GCTTCTATAGTTGGTGATCATTTCCTTTCTTCTCATGACCTTAAAGTTTGATTCAGGGGTGATATTGTAAGGAGGCAGTGGATTTCACTCCTAGGGTTCAAAGGTTAACCGTATTTTTTTTTTTATATATTCTAAGTGGCGTCAGGGTCCGTCAGGTTCGTTCATCCCATTCTTCAAAACGACCTTTGTCCAAGTCAAGGGGAGCTCAGCAAACTCTTCCAAAACGAGACCTGGCAACCAAATACTTTGGAGAACATTTGTTTTCTCTTCCAGCCAGCATTGCTGGCTCAGATTCAGCTTTGAGTACGGGCAAAACTCAGGCACTTCGCAGGAAAAGATAACCTCAGTGGCAAGAAAAAAAGATAAAACTGTATTTATGTAAATAACCCTTCTACCCTGTGTCTTTTTATTTTTAAAGAAATTGTAATAAAGAGCTTTAGATACCTTGCATATTTGATATTCTAAAAAGAATGGCACTGTTTGAAAGTACACTAAAGTATTAAGTTCAGGGCTGTGGCCTAGCAGTACTCTGGGGCCCCCTGGCGCCCCCTAGCGCCCCCTGGCGCCCTACTTTTACTCTTGGACGACTCAGGAATCTTATATGCTGGTCACCCTGGATTTCACAGTTTCAGAGCACTGCGCTCCATGCAATTTTTCTACTAGCACAGCCATGAAGTTGTTTGGATATTTTGAAAATTGATTTCTATAAGCGTGTGTCATTGTGAATAATTCTTAGATGTCCCGACATGAAAAACCCCACCTCACCCCACCCCCTTCTCGTATGAAATACTGGGTACTTCGTGCTTCACATTGAATTTGGTGTTATTTTAATATAATTATTTGCTTACTTTTAGTAACTGATTTTATACCTGGAGGGTGACTGTGTCTGACAGAGGAAAAGTTATGCTGGGAAATCACGTAGCTTGTTGTGTGTAATAGAGGAAACAATCATCATCTTCTGAGAAATTCTATCAATAACTCGCAGCAACTGATGAGGGAAAGAAAAGAAAATTTCAAAATGTCGGGTCAAGTGAACTACTTTTTGTATTGTCGTCAAAAAAGTCTTGATTTCACTGAAGACACAACTTGCTGTGTTCAGTTGGTATAAAAATCCCCTTCAACTTACAATTTATTGGAAACATTTTATCCGGACAGGAATATTGCTGCAGTTCATTTACTTTTAGGTCTTAGAATGAACCTACGCTGAAATTTTGTTCTTTTACAATGTTCACTTAAGGTGTTGTAACGATGGCCATTCTAAGGACAGTCTTGAAAGACTGAAAAGGAGATTGCTTCGATTATGTCTGTAACGGCAAAGCGGAATTTAAGAAACAAGAGAGCTGCCCGAGATATATTCAGTGGGATATAGTCTGGAATTGTTTTTGAGATTAAAGATTTGGCGAGTAACAGTGCAGACTTGCTCCGTATGGATAGAAGGACAATTAAATCTTAAGTTTTAACACTCGGGGCCCGGTTGTTCAAAGTGCGGATAATGCTATCGAATGGATAAATCGCTATCCAGCGGATGAGTGTTACCTAAACGTACTGCTTAATCCAGTAGATAGAGATTTATACAATAGGCCATTTTACAGTTGTGTACTTAGTTGCCAAGCCTTTGATTCAGAGTGAGGCTAAAGATGACCTTGTTGTGATAGAGACCTGTATTTAGTTAGCATGATAACAAAGTGATTTACATTTGAAAGGCAGCAAGGTTTGTATCATAGCAAGGTCATCTCTAGCCTCACTCCCATTCAAAGGCTTGGCAACCAAGCACACAACTGTAAAATGGACTATTGATAGCGCTACCA